CCATTGTTTCTTTTTACCACAGCAATGTTATCTGGAAATCCAGCTGACATCGTTTCTTTTACAGATTTTTGGGAGACAGCAAGAAAATTAGCCTAAGATGAATTTAGCCATAGAGAAGTAGAAAGGATATTATTAAGTATGAATAATTATCTACAAGAGTAAAAAATGGTATAGTTAATTTTTTCCATTTTGAAAAATTATTTCTGGCTGGGTACCCATAGCTCAGTGATTAGGGCACTGGCCACATATACTAGGGCTAGTAGGTTTCAAATCTATCCCAGGCCTGCTAAACAAGCAAACAACAACAACAAAAATAGCTGGGTGTTGTGCCAGGCGCCTATAATCCCAACTACTTGGGAGGCTGAGGCAAGAGAATCTCTTAAGCCCAAGAGTTTGAGGTTGTTGTGAGCTGTGATGCCACAGCACTCTACCTAGGGAGAAAAAAAATGAAACTCTGTCTTAAAAAAAAAAAGAATTATTTCAATTTCTAAATTATTTTTAATAACTACATACTATATTTTGTGTGTTTATTCAAAAAAGACATGGTGATACTTAGTATAAAAAGACTTGAAACATTTCAACATTACAATAAAGCAAGCTAATGAGATCAAACACACCTGAGAAGTTTTGAGTATGTACATAAGGAACAAAATTAGTTAAAAGCATCCTGAATTAAACAATACCTGACCTTTCAGAAGGTATCTGAAAAGTCAAACGTCAAAAACATTTATGTAGAAATAAATACACTGACCACAAGAGGGTAGCCTAGTCTCACTTACAAGTTAGAAACTGGGAAAGGATGTTTTCTGAGAATCTTTCAAATAGTCACCTAAACCTATGTGCCTAATGTCTTAGTGTACAAGAAAAAAAGCAGCTGTCATCCCCACCCATGGCTATGTTTGTTGCTGAGTAGTCTTAGTGTTTTGAGTGGACTGGTTTTTAGATTCTACATATTACTGGTTACAGAGCTAGTAATTCAGAAGGCCACAGTTCCCACTCTCAAAAAAACTAGACTTTTAAAAAATCTAGGTTTCTCAGAATGAAATGGAAATACAATTATTCTTCAATAAACATAATGACATGGTTTCCTATGTGTCTATTAGTCTTAGCAGTATTTTTAATTTTTGAGAAAATGTGTTCCAAAAAGAATTTCCGTGAAATCAATGACAATCCTCCAACAGATTTCCACCTTTCTTTCTACCTTGAAAGTTTCAAAGTTCAAAAGTAACTCCAGAAACCTAACATAGGTTATTCTCTATCATTACTCCTGAGGTTTAAAAACATTTTGCAGTATTGGTTACTTCTCATGTACAGATGCTCCTCCACTTATGATTGGGTTATGTCCTGATAAACCCCCCGTAAGTCAAAAATATAAGCTACAAATGCATTTATTATGCAATAAACCCATCATAAAGTTGAACCACCGAAAGTCAGGGACCTTCCTTAGTAGTTCCCTCTGTATTCTTTAGATGCCATTTATCCACTCCCATTCTCCCCTCTCAAATGGTAACAACTTAACCAATTTCCCTCTTACACTCTATGCCTGACTCCTGCTATACACAATGCAAACAAGACCCACCTTCTCCACATGAATGTATTTTTGTGAATTTTTTTTCATTGGCTTATGACATTCAGACTAAAATCTTAACTACTTAAGTAATTCTCCATCATTCCTACTACATTTCTCTTCCTAATCCAATTACGCAGGAGGCTCCAGTCTAATGATTGATCCTGCACATTACTTGACTTCCTGACTTCTTTATGATAAGTGTTTTGCTTGTCTAGGGCCCAGCTCCCATATTATGATTGCTGACCAAATACATTAAATAAACCATCTTCAAGGTTTCAGTTTCTTACCCTCAATTATACCTCTTAGAAAAGCATAAGAGTAGAAAAGGACTACTACACAGACATTCTTTCAGACCAGAAATGAGCAGAGATCATGCTTAATGGACAAACATTTCCGAATAACACTGCATATTCCCAGAGAAAAAGTGGCAGAAACGACTATTGTCTGGTGACACTATTGTCTGGACATAGTCAGTTCTCAGAACTCCAGTCCCTAAACTACCTCCTGACTTTAAAAAAAGGTCCTTATAGAAATCCAGTTATTTTCCCCAAAAGGATAATCTTTAATTCTACTCGGTTGTGCCTCAGCACATGCCCAAGAGTAGACGTCTTTCAGTAACTTAGAAACCCACTGACACTGTAATGCTGAATGATTGAACAGAGCACAGCAGTGACTGGTGCCTCACATGTCAATTTTACTCATGGGGAAAAAAGTAGGATACTTAAAAGAGGTTTAAAAAAAACCCCTCTTGTTTATTCCTTAACGAGAGACAGCTGTGTGATGCTTAGTCTGGGAAGGAAATGCCTAGGTCACTATCCTCTCAGCACCCCCGGTAGGAAGTCCTCAGTAGGAGAAAACACCTGGAAGACCCTAAGTGCAAGAGGAAAAGAGGAGGGAAAGGGAGTTTAAAAGAAGGGGCTGGAAGTTCTCAGAACATGAACTACACAAACAAATGAATTATTGAGGTCTCAGACTTGATTTTGACCCAGTATGAAAGGTTTCTCAATTCTAAGCCCTAATCTATTCCTCCAAAAAGTATATGTCCTGGGGTTTTAGGCGTGGCACTGTGGGGGAGAACTAGAGTGAGCTACAGTGAAGATATACATATGCATATTCATATATGAACACACAGATACACATATATATATTTGCGTTTAGTAATTTTTATAAAATTCCCACTTACTTCTATGGTCCTGTCTGCATCTTAGAAGTAAGAATATTACATCTCCCAGGTTCTCCTTGTCCACAGGCTTCTGAATGTGGTGCACAGTTTTCCAGTGAAACTTAATATTACGAGACTTGGGAGGTGGAAGTTAGGCTGACGCCATCTCCTGTGGTAAACATGATGTTTCACAGACATGAGTTTTGGGATCAGCCTAGTGTTCCCAAGACATTTCAGTCTGGAGGAGCTGTGACATCAGCAGAGCTTCCCCTGGGTTCCTGACCTTTTAAAGCTAGGGATCTGCGCTGACTTGAGTTCCTCCAAGCTTCCTAACAGTTTTAAGGGACAATTCCCATAATAGATTCAATTCTGTTAAGGGTGTCTACAGGGATTTCTATTTCCCATCTGAACTCTGACTGTTGCTGTGGATCCTCACCATTTAATACACCAAGAAGACCTCATTCAGGTACCTTCAGAAACTCCCCAAACACAGGAAGTTAGCTTGGGAGTAATGTCCAAATCACTTGTGTCCAAATAGAAATTTCTCTCCTGCCACGGAGGAAGGGAACTGAAAGTCTTTCTAAAGTCTCCCAAATTTAGTAATGTCACTAGAAGAACCAATTGGTGTTTTAGGACTAAACAACATCATAAGTCGCTGAGCAACACCTTGGGTTGAAGGTGCTATTATGACATGTAAAATGTCTTCAAGTTTGCCATATATTTATTATGCATTTCTTAAGGACAAGGAATTATGGTAGCCAGCAAAGGATAGACCCAGTAAAGTTTCACATGATTTTGCCTTTGAAAGAGACAGCAAGCCTAAATCATAGAATCAGACTCTCAACACAAACTGATACTGTAGAATTCTAATCTAGCCCATTCTTCAGCTTCTAGGAAATGTACTTCTGAAAAATTTTAGGATAGAATCGTGCTGTGGGCCTCCTCTTAATGATCTAGGGGTTATTGTCAGAGGGTGTTCAGAACCCTTTGATGTGATCAGATAACTGATAATGTGAAGGGTGTTTGCCCTCATGATTTGTGAGGGCAGCTGTGTGGCAAGATAAGACCTCGGGATAACAGTGTGAAAATCAAATCTAAGTAAACGTGTTATGACTGGCATTTAAAGATGGACTCACCCCCTTATGGGCTCCCTCACTGCCAAGTCATTATCTTTGGATGTATTTGGCTTCAAGTCCTTTCTTTCATTCTTTTTTTTTTTTTTTTTGAGACAGAGTCTCACTATGTCGCTCTCGGTAGAGTGCCGTGGCATCACAGCTCGTGGCAACCTCAAACTCTTTGGCTTAAGAGATTCTCCTGCCTCAGCCTCCCAAGTAGCTGGGACTATAGGCACCTGCCTCACCACCTGGCTATTTTTTTGTTGTAGTTGTCATTATTGTTTGGCAGGCCCTGGCCAGGTTCGAACTCACCAGCCCCAGTGTATGTGGCCAGTGCCAAGCCAGATTCAAGTCCTTTCTATGTATAAACATTTTCCTTTCTCTTTTACTGGAGCACATGACAGGAGAAAAACTTTCATGACCCTACGACATTAAGGAAGAAATAGCAAAGCCCTCCTGTGGATCATCATTCTTAGTGTTCCAGGTAAAACAAGCTCTTCCCAGTTACTCTACCCTACTCATTGACCCAAGTCATCAAATCAGGTGTGTGCAATCTCCAGTCTGTGGTCATATTTAAGAAGGTAGGGATTAGGAGAATGTACCCCCTTTACAGCCCACTGCTTCCTCTAACCACTGCCTGTGTTCCAGGGTACAGCTTCCCATCCTTCTCCAGCCTTGGGAGTACTGAAACTCAGTGTTTCCTCCAAAGTTCTCTTAATACAGCACAATGCCAGCAACCCCAACCTCTGGGGCTCAGTTGGTCATCTTGGGGTCTAGGACACTGCAGAATCATGAAGCAATAAGGGGCTTCTTCTCCATGGCCTGTCTACCTTCTCTTTAGATGATTTTTTGTCCCTTCAGTAAACTTCCCAGCTGTCACGTCACACAGGTTTGATCAGTATTTAGCTCTCACTTTAGGGCATTTCCATTGATTCTGTCCTCACAAATGTACTTCAGGTATATCTCTTTCTAGAACGTGGATTGGGATGGAAGTCTGTGACTGACTGATTAGAAATCTCGAAGACTTGATTTGTTTACGAACTTATTTCATCTGTACCTTCTGTCCTAGACCTTTTGCAAGAACCCTACCCCTAGCAACAGATGTGTCATCTCATAAGATTTTTCTGATTGGCTGGAGCTTGACTGATTTGAATTTTAATCATGCCAGACTCTATCACACCCCACATTCTCTTATATTCTTAACTTCTCTGCCTCTCTCCTGAGCTGTACTGACCCTCATCAAAGCACCCAAGAAGAAAATGGCTGTTAGTGGATTTTCTGTGCTAGGATTTTTCATCATGGCTGTCCTGATGAGCCCTCAGGAATCCTGGGCTATCAAAGGTAAGTGCTGAGAGAATCAATACTGGGGACCATAGACTATGAAGCATTGGAGAAAGAACTGAAAGCATTTGCAAGACATTCTTGGAAGTAAAAGAAAAGTGGGACAGTTATGATGTGTGTCTAAGTTGGAAAGCATAATAAGTTGCAGTTTAGAGTTCTCTCACTGCAAAATGAAGTAAGTCAAATTCAGTTTAGAGGAACAAAACTGAGCTGTAAGTTGATTATTGTCACCAACTTTATATTAGACAAACTTTAGGGGGAGGTAGAATATTTTCTGACAGGCATTAACAAGCTACATCTGTGAGCTTTAATTTTTCTTTCTGTGGCTCAAAGGAATAGGGCGCTGGCCCCATATATCAGAGGTAGTGGATTCAAACCCAGCCCTGGCCAGAAAAAAAAAAAAAACTGCAAAAAAAAAACTCATATAATTTTGTTAGAATTAAATGAAAAACTTATGAGAAGTTCTTAGCACTGTTCTTAGCTAAAAACATCATACATTGTTATTTGGGGGGCATATAGTTTCTGTCAGCATATTTTAAGCACAGATGCTGTGTTGAAGATCATTGAAAAGAAAAGTCACCAAAAAGCAACAATCAACCCAAGGGAGGTGGGAGTGCATTTAATTTACTGGCCCTCAGGACAGTGACAGCCATCGCTCCACCATCACCACCCCCAACCCTGTGCTACAGTAGATATTACATAATCTTTGCTCACTGTTACTTAGTAATATTTTTTAGAGAGTAGAAAAATGAATAAGGAAGTGGGGAGTCTTGTAAAGATGAATTATGAAAAGGTATTCTTCATGTAGAATAACCTCTACAGGGGGTGTCAGGTAGACTGGAAATAAGCAAAAGTTATAATGCAGCTCCCAGACCCATAATGGCAATTACAGGTTTCTACTGCCCAGAAAGGGCCATATATGGGGTGCTTACCTGGAAAGATAGAGGTTCTTCTCTTGATTTGGAAAGGGGCAGGTAAAACATTTATGTGTGTGCATGTGTGCATAAATTCAAATGATAAATAAATCCCTAGGTTTATCAATATACAGTCAAACATTAAAATCTCTCACCTTATTTGTGAAGACTAAGGAGAAAGACAGCCTCCGTCTCACCCACACACACCATGGAGGCTGCATACTCTCCAGCTGTAGCCTTTCTCACTCAGGCTGATTATTCTCTTAGTGTTGGTTATTCTTAGTAACAACTGGAACAGAATATGCCCCATAGTAACAGTCTCAATTTAAGGAACATTAAGATATTACAAAAGGTTGAGTTGCCAAGGTCCATCCAAAGGGGACTCTTGTCACAGAAGTATCACAGTGTGGGTTTGGGCCCAGGGAGCACCACAAGGTATCATTGCTAATTTCCCGGATACCTCTGGCCCAGTTATATTTTCTATGGATTTGGTTCATAAATACAAAGCAGTCTTTTATCTCAAATGGTGAATAGTGCCTGTTATAGGCTTGTTGATGCACATAGAAATTATTTACCTTATTTCATTTAATCATACAAACAAGTCCACAACAGAATATAACAGAATCAGAACCACAGCAGAACTATATAACCACATGTAAGTAGGTAGAAAAATCTACCGAGTTCACTAGGTAGGTAGCTTAATAAGAATTTAATATTTTACTTGATTCCGCCATTCAGTCCCCAACCTTTCAAATGGTGTTTTTATCTTCTTAGAATACAATGTGCTGAAGATGCCCTGGAATTCTGCCTAAGTGTATTTCATGCTTGGGTAGAGAGTGAGAGAACATTTCTCTTTCAGGGGCTGCTGCTGGATTTCTAAAGGGAAAGTTATTTCTCAGCTAGTAGCAAGGAGCCAGACAACAGACAAAAGACTGCGTTTTTCAGCCCTCATCTCCTTCAATCCACCCTCTCTAACATGGATGCTCCTATTTTTCCCCTGACCCTCAGTCTTGTTCAGAATGGTGTCCTCCACCCAGACCCAGTCTTTCTCTTGTCCCTGCTCTGTCACTTCTCTATTTCACTTGGCCCAATCTCTCTCCACCATCTCCTGCCACTGTACATGGTTCTTCTCCATCTCCCTCTCCTCACTGCCCCCTTCCTGCCTTTCCAGAGGAACATGTGATCATCCAGGCCGAGTTCTATCTGTCTCCTGACCAATCAGGAGAGTTTATGTTTGACTTCGATGGTGATGAGATTTTCCATGTGGATATGGGAAAGAAAGAGACAGTCTGGCGGCTTGAAGAATTTGGACAATATGCCGGCTTTGAGGCGCAGGGTGCATTGGCCAACATAGCTGTGGACAAAGCCAACCTGGACATCATGATAAAGCGCTCCAACAACACCCCGGACACCAATGGTAACTCTCTCTCTGCTGCACTCCTGGGTATGGGGATCCATAGCTTTAGAATAGACACTTAAGCTCTTTGTGTCCTATTGTTGTGACTGACTTTCCCAGGGGCCTAACCTTGTCATAGGCTCAAGAACTTTATGGGTTTGCTCCTTTCTTGATGTGCTCAAGCCTGACTCTGTCATCCATGGTCACTCACAGGCACTGCCCTCAGTCCATGCTGGAGAGCCAGGAGTGAGGTCTTCAGATATCTTCTACTCCAATGTTGGCTCCAGTTCACAGGAGAGGGTGCCAGAGATTGGTCTTTCAGAATGTGGCATAGACTTCTCAGGGTACAATGTCAAATGCTTTTTTTTTTTTTTTTTTTTTGCAGTATGGCCTTTAAATAGATGTGTACCACAATTCAGTGTAGGAGGGGGAGGCATGAGACTAAGCAGCAAGGGCTAACGTCAGTCATGTGTCCCCTAGTGCCTCCAGAGGTAACTGTGCTCACGAACAGCCCAGTGGAACTGGGAGAGCCCAATGTCCTCATCTGTTTCATTGACAAGTTCTCCCCGCCGGTGGTCAACGTCACATGGCTTCAAAATGGAAAACCTGTCACCACCGGGGTGTCAGAGACTGTCTTCCTGCCCAGGGAAGACCACCTTTTCCGCAAGTTCCACTATCTGCCCTTCTTGCCCTCGGCCGAGGACGTCTATGACTGCAGAGTGGAGCACTGGGGTTTGGATGAGCCTCTTCTCAAGCACTGGGGTATGGACCATCCTCCAATCTGTGATGCTGTGTCTGGACCTTTGGGACCCAGAGTGTCCGGATTCATAACATCTGTTACCACTCATTTATCTGCCTTATCCCGCTAGTCATCTTACTCCATTTTTTAATCTGCAATTTTCTCAGTACATTGCTCTGTCTTCCTCCTCTTTAATCTAACTATTCTTTTGACAAAGTACCCCACATTTTGCCCTACATGTTATTCCCAACCTCATTCATTACCATGTACACTCTCTCATTTTTCTCTAGAGTTTGATGCACGAACTCCACTCCCGGAGACTACAGAGAATGTGGTGTGTGCCCTGGGCCTGGTTGTGGGTCTGGTGGGCATCATTGCTGGCACCGTCTTCATCATCAAGGGCGTGCGCAAAAGCAACGCTGCAGAACGCCGGGGCCAGGGCCCTCTGTGAGGCACGTGGAGGCAGGTTAGGTGTGGGTGGAGGAAGACATATACGGGGAGCCTGAGGGAGGAAAACAGAGTAGGTGGGGAAAGGGAGAGAATGACATGTGATGCTTTTAAGAGAAAGGGTAGGAACAGATGAGGCTCTTGAATTCTCCTTGTTAGATCGAATCAGAATTGGCATCTTCTGGTGTCCCAAAGCTTCAGTGTCTCTCAGGCATTTCTGTAGATGTGCACCTAGAACACACTTTCAATCATGGAAATCATCTCCAGTGCCCCAGTACCTAAGGCCGTGGTTTCAAATTAGAATACTAATCCAGAATTCAGTAATCTAGGAAAATGCCTCAGGTTTTTCCTGGCTTCTATTTCCTCAGGCAGGCCATCAATTCAGAAGGTTTTACAGAGCTTGGCTCCTTAGGGGTTGGGGTAGATTGACTGCATGAAATGGAAATCTCTTAGAGGTCAAGGGACCAAATGCAATCAGAAACTCTAAAAAAAAAAAAAGGTAAAGCATGGTTGCCTATTCATGTTCAGTTGGAGAGCAGAGTATACACTTCATGTTAGAAAGTTCAGACGAATATTAAAAGACTTTCTAAAGTCAAATGATTAAGAGAGAGAGGATGGAATTTGAAGGAAAGAGCTCAAAAGACTCATCTTAAACTGTTTACTAACAATGTGTGTCCTATTACAGGTGATGGTGTTTCTCAGGGAGACCACTGAAAAAATTTCTGCTTTAATAGTTTTACAAAGCTGACAATACTCCCAATTGCTGATCTCAGTGAAACCAGCCACCTTCAGCCATTTCCAGACCTTTAGCCACCCTAAGAGTGGTGATCCCTTCCCTGATCTCTCCATACTCTAACATCTGGTTAGATTCCCTGACTGTTGCCCTTTCCTGTATCAGTTTTACTTCTGTTTTCCATTATTTTATTATTAACATGCATTGCCTCTGGAATAAACTCCATAGGATTCTCTTCCATAGAATGTTCTAGTCATCCCACAGAGGCTCTCTTGTGTCCTTGTTGCTTAGAGTTTCTTCAAACTGATTTTTCTAAATACAATAAATTATCCTGATGGGTCTTCAGTGGAATTTTTGTCTTTTGAGCTAGTTCTTTGGTTGGGGGAGAGGAAGGAGCTGGGGAATATGTGTGATCTTTGCATCTTGAAATATCTGAGTGCTGAATGTATCTTATAAGCTCTGGAGTAATAGAAATATCCAGGTTCATTAGGGCTTGGTTTCATTCCAAGCATCTACAAGTGACCCTGTTGCCGTGGTATAGTCCTCAACAGGAGAACCCTAATGCTGGTTGTCTGTGAGCCGTGGGTTCAGAATCTGGTTTTGGTTCTTGAGACCGCAAGTCAATGACATATCTGTATCCTCAGTAGAGTGAACTTCAAACCCCAGGTTTTAGCCTTTGCAGATGGGTGTACCAGATGGAGAGGAGCAGATGAGGGTGGAGTGGGGAGCAGAAGAAGAAGAGGGTCCACATACATTACGGGATTTGCATGTCAAAACCACCCATTCCAGACTTAATGAGGAATGAGACTGGACACTGAAGACTGGTATTACCCATTTGATTAGACATGGCCTCAGATGCCCATTTCACTTCTGGGAGAATAGATTGATTCATGCTTGGAACCATATTATATTTGGAGATGTGTTTTCTTGAGTGGAAAGTAGAAGGGGAGATGGGGACAGGATATGGCACTAAAATGAGAGGCAAGTATGTGAAACACAGTGAATTATTGCTCATTTATAAGTTTAGTTTTTCTGAAATGGTTGTGAGAACCTACCAAAAATCATAAAGAATAACTATTCATCACAGTATTGTAGACTTCAGGTGGCTCTACCATTTACTATGTATTCATGGGTATCTTAATTTAGCCTCAGATTCCTCATGAAAATATTGATGTTAATTTTTATTGCATTGAGTTGTTTTCAGACTTAAAGGGAAAATGTAAGCAAAGTAATTAGGTACTATGCTTAGTAGTAATAAAATATTTCACAAAGTATATATTCCATTGTTTTTCTCAAAATTTCTACAGCCTGATGATAAAATAGAAGTGACATAAACACAAACTAAAGCATCATGGCGTTATAAGATTCATGAGTAAATAACAAGATTCTCTCCATGTGGTACAGAGAACCAAAGCAGAATCTTTTTTTTTTTCTTTTTTGGTAGAGACAGAGTCTCACTTTATCACCCTCAGTAGAGTGCCATGGTGTCACACAGCTCACAGCAACCTCCAACTCCAGCCTCCCGAGTAGCTGGAACTACAGGCACCTGCCACAACGCCTGGCTATTTTTTTGTTGCAGTTTGGCGAGGGCTGGGTTTGAACTCACCACCCTCAGGATATGGGGCTGGCGCCCCATCCACTGCACCACAGGTGCTGCCCCCAAAGCAGAATCTTGAGAATGTTGAATGTAGAATAGGCAAAAGTGTTTTTTTCATGTCTGCTATTTTCATTATAAAATAAATAGATGAACAATAGAGAATACAGTAAAACTCAGAATAAGAAAGCAAAAAGTAAGCTCATATTCTCCAATATGAGAAAATGCCTTTTAAAATATACTTTATGTTTTAGAATAGGTTTTTGTTTTTGTTTTTTTGAGACAGAGTCTCACTGTGTTGCCCCAGCTAGAGTGCCATAGCCTCAGCATAGCTCACAGCAACCTCAAACTCCTGGGCTCAAGAGGTCCCCCTGCCTCAACCTCTCAGTAGCTGGGACTATAGGCACCCACCATGATACCTGGCTAGTTTTTCTATTTTTAGTAGAGACAGGGTCTCCCTTTGCTCAGGCTGGTCTGGATCTCCTGACCTCAAGCAATCATAGAGAAGTTTATAGACAAACTTCAGAGAAAGTGCAGAGTTTTCATACACCCCCTTCCCTAAAACCACCCACCACCTAGTTCTCCTATTGTTAACATCTGCATTAGAAGGGTACACTTGTTACAATTGATGAACCAGTACTGATACTAGTATTAACTCAAGACAATAGTTACATTAGGGTTCACCCTGAATTATACAGGTCTCTGCATTTTGACAAATGCCTAATGTTATGTATCCACCATTGCAGTAAAATAGTTTCACTGACCTAAAAACGCCCCCACGCTCCACCTAATCACCCTTCTCTCCTCCCCTGAACTCCTGGTGACCACTGATCTACTCACTGTCTATAATTTTGCCTGTTCCAGAATGTCATGTAATTGTGATTATATAATATACAGCTTTTTTGGAATCATTTCTTTCACTTGCAATATGCATTTAAGCTTCCTCCATGTCTTTTCATAGCGTGATACTTTATTTCTCTTTAATGATGAATAATACTCTGTGTTGGATGTACCACAGGTATCCACTCATTGAAGAATATCTTGGTGGCTTCCAATTTTTGGCAATTATGAATAAAACTGCTATAAACATTCATGTACAGGTTTTTGTGCAGACATAAGTTTTCTACTCATTTGAGTAAATACTTGGGAGTGCAATCTCTGGATCACACAGTAAGAATATGTTTAGCTTTGTCAGAAACTGCCAGAATGTCTTCCAAAGTGTCAGTACCATTTTGCATTCCCACCAGCAACAAATGGGAGTCCCTGTTGTTCTACATCCTTGTCAGCATTTGGTGTTGTGAGAGTTTTAGATTTCAGCCAGAAACTCAGTTTTTACTTTGAAATAATTATAGATTCACAGGAAATTGTAAAGACAGTACAGAGAGATTCTGCACACCCCATCACCCAGCTTCTCCAAATGTTTGTATTTTAAGTAACTGTAGTACAATATCAAAATCAGGAAACTGATATTGGTGCAATATGTGTGTGTGTCATTCTGTGCCTGTTTTATCACATTTGTAGACTTGAGTAACCACCACTGTTGTCAAGTGCAAAGTGATTCCATTGCCACAGAGATCTCCCCTGGGCCAGCCTTTAGTCACAATCTCACCTCCTCACACCATCACCCTAACATCTGACAGCCACTAACCTCTTCTACATCTCTGTGACACTGTCATTTTGAAAATGTTAGATAAATGGACCCATGCAGTAGGTGACTTGTTGAGACTGGCATGTTCACTCAGCAAGATACCCTTGAGATCCATGCGAGCTGTTGCATGTATCAACAATGCGCTCTTTTTTCTTGCTTAGTATTCCATGGTATGCATGTGTGATACAGCAATTTGTTTAACTATTTGCCCATTGAAGGACATTTTGACTATTTCTAATTTGAAGCTACTATACATAAAGCTGTTATGAACATTCGTGTAAGGTTTTTGTATAAAGGTGAGTTTTCATTTCTCTGATATAAATGTTGTGCAATATAATTACTGGGTCAAGTGTTGAATATATGCATTTGTTTAGTTTTTTAAGCCAACCTGTTTTCTGGAGGGACTGTACTATTTTAAATTCCCACCAGGAGGATATATGAGAAATCCAGTTTTTCTGCATTCTCACATACTTACCAATGTCAGTATCTGTTATTTTAGCTATTTTAGCAGGTGTGCAGTGACATTTGCATTTCCGTAATGAAGAGTGATGCACATAATTCAGTGTGCTTATCTGACATCAATCCATATCTCTTTGATAAAATGTCTCTTCATGTCAGGCTGGGCACGGTGGCTCATGCCTATAATTCTAGCAGTCTGGTTGACCAAAATGAGTGGATTGTTTGAGACTGGGAGTGTAAGACCAGCCTGAGCAAGAGAAAGACCTCATCTCTACTAAAAATTGAAAACCCAAGGCAAGAGGATCTCTTGAGCCCAGGAGTTTGAGGTTTCTGAGAGCTATGATACTACAGCACTCTACTGAGCTGTTCAAGCAGGTGAAGTGCATTTCCTGCGACTGGAGGGTGGAGATGATGAGGGCTAAAAAGTGAGACTCTGTCTCAAAAAAAGAAAAAAAAGCCTCTTTCTGTCTTTGCCCATTTTGTAATTAGGTTTTTTCGTACTGTGGAGTTTTGACAGATCTTTATATGTTCTAGATAACATGTTTTTTTGTGATATGTGTGGCTCATAAACACGTCCTCGCTATCCATAGCTTATCTTTTCATTCTTAACAGGATATTTTACAGAACAAAAGTTTTTAATTTTGATAAAGCCCAATTTATTTTTTAGATTGTACTTTTGGTATCATGTCTAAGAACTCTTCACTAAGTCTGAGCTCCGGAAGGATTTTCTCACATGTTTTCTAGTAAAAGTTTCACATTTAGGGGTGGCGCCTGGCTCAAAGGAGTAGGGCGCTGGCCCCATATTTCGGAGGTGGCAGGTTCAAACCTGGCCCCGGCCAAAACCTGTAAAAAAAAGTTTCACATTTAAACTTATGATCTATTTGGGATAAATTGTTGTATAACGAAGAAAAGAAAATTTACTAAATGTTTTTCTTCTTCTCCTCCTACCCTTCCCTCTGCCCCTCCTCCTCTTCCTACTCCTCCTTTTTTTTTTCTTTTGGTTTGGTTCAGTTTTGGTTTTGTCTATGTATTGCCACTTGCTCCAGCACCATTGCTTGCAAAGACTATACTTCTTCCATTGAATTGCTTTGTACCTCTGTCAAAAATGAGTTGGTGAAAATTTCTGGATTCTCTGTACTGCCCATGAATTCCTGTGTCTATCTCTGCACTAGCATCAATCAGCCTTGATTACTATCACAGTGAGAAATTCTTACTTGATTAGAGTTACTTCCCCAACTTTTTCTTTACCAAATTTATCTATTCTAGTTTCCTTGCTTTTCCACATAAATTTTAGAATAACTTTGTCTACAACTATTAACATTTTTTTCTGGCATCTTAGTAGAAATTGCATAAACCCGGCTATTAACTTGGGGAGAATTGACATCTTTCCTGTGTTGGGCTTTCTAGTTGATGAACACAGTAAGTCTGTCCATTTATTTAGATCTTTTATCAGCACACAAACCCTGTATATATTCTGTTAGAGTTATGCTTCTATATCTTTTTTGGAGTGATTATAATTCATGTTGTACTGTTAATTCTTTTGTTTCTATTTCTTCATTGCTACATATAGAAATGAAATTAATTTTTTAGTTGATCTTTAATACCATGACCTTTGTGAACTCGCTTATTAGTTGGAGCTGAACAGGAAAA